CTCTCTTTCTCCTTTCTCCTTCTCTCCTTCCGTTTCCTCCCTCTCGTTCTCCTTTTTCCTTCCCTTTTTCTTCTCATCCTTCCATTTCCTCCCTTTCTCTCTCTCTTCCTTATCCTTCCTTCCTCTCTTTCTATTTCTTTTCTTCCTTTTTCCTTCCTTCCCCCCCTCCTTCCCTCCCTCCTGCTCTCTCTCTCTCTCTCTCTCTCACACACACACACACACACAACTTGTGGGCAGAGAAACCCAAACATATCGATCGCTCTGTGAGAAATATTAAGCCGCGAGGTCGGAGAAGTGAGAGACAGAAGGCCCCGGCTGTTTATTACTTTCTCACCCAGGGACCCAAGAGAGGCGATCACATCTCAGAATTGAGCCTGGTGGACGAATGACTGAAGGCGTTCAATGATGATTGCTTTCTCTGCTGCAGACCTTCGGCAAATCCATCCCAGACCGCTTGGCCTCGGTTACATCCCAATCCTTTCGTCTCTCTTCAAACCCCTGCAGAGTCCTGATGCCAACCTCGAAAAACGCAACGGGTGGTTAATAAAAAAAAGGTTTTTTTTAAATCGCCCTGTTAAGAAACCTGCCTGGATGGGCCTGGGATCTCCCAAGGCAGCTGTCTGAGAGATGGGGCTGTTAATCCCCTCATCCAGGACCTGGTGGATCCTCTCACCCAGGACCTGGTGGATCCTCTCATCCAGGACCTGGTTGGCTTGATGGATCGGCTTTCCGGGGACCCGGTGCGAGAGCAGAATGGGATAAACACGGCTTTAGAATATCGTCTCGAGTTCTTCACCGTGTTTACGGCAGGGGTCCTCAAACTTGGCCGCTTTAAGACTTGTGGACTTCAACTCCCAGAATTCCCCAGCCAGCATGGCTGGCTGGGGAATTCTGGGAGTTGAAGTCCACAAGTCTTAAAGCGGCCAAGTTTGAGGACCCCTGGTTTACAGTCAGTAAGCGGCAGCCCTCTTGGAAAGATGAGATGATTGGCAAGCACCGATTGCGCTGTGCTGAGGCTTAAAGGGTGCCTTTTGATCTTCACTGGTGAGAAAATTAAGGCAGGGAAACTCAAAAGCACCGGTATAAAATAGGTGGCACCTGGCTCAATGGCAGTAACTGCGGGAGGGACCTCCGAGTCCTAGTGGACAATCCCTTCAATAGGAGCCAGCTGTGTGCGGCAGCTGCCGAAAACGCCAACGCAATCCTAGGCTGCATTAAGAGAGGGATAGAATCAAGATCACGTGAAGTGTTAATATCACTTTACAAGGCCTTAGTAAGGCCACATTTGGAATACTGCATCCAGTTTTGGTCACCACGATGTAAAAAAGATGTTGAGACTTTAGAAAGAGTGCAGAGAAGAGCAACAGAGATGATCAGGGGACTGGAGGCTAAAACATACAAGGAACGGCTGCTGGAATTGGGGATGTCTAATTTGATGAAGAGAAGGACGAGGGGGGACATGATAGCAGCGTTCCAGTATCTCAGGGGCTGCCCCAAAGAAGAGGGAGTCAAGCTATTCTCCAAAGCATCTGAAGGCAGGACAAGAAGCAATGGGTGGAAACTAATCCAGGAGAGAAGCAAACTGGAACTAAGGAGAAACTTCCTAACAATGAGGACAATTAACCAGTGGAACTGCTAGCCTCCAGAAGTTGTGGAAGTTTTTAAGAAGAGATTGGATAGCCATTTGTCTGAAATGGCACAGGGCCTCCTGCTTGAGCAGGGGGTTGGACTAGAAGACCTCTAAGGTCCCTTCCAGCCTTAGGATTCTATTATTCTGAGATAGATAAGATAACGAGGGAGGGAGAGATGGATGGATGGAACAACCTGCCTCCAGAAGCTGTGAATGCTCCAACACTGGAAGTTTTAAAGAAGAGACCGGACAGCCATTTGTCTGAAATGGCACAGGGCCTCCTGCCTGAGCAGGGGGTTGGACTAGATGACCTCCAAGGTCCCTTCTGACTCTATTTTTCTGTTAATTTCATCTCATGCCAGGAAACGGAGTTACGCCACCAGTCCATTTCCCAAGTGTGGGAAAATAAATGTTTTCTTGCCTAGGCTCTCCCATATTTGTTGGGGCAGGCAGGAGTTGGCAAGGCCCGGCCCTACCTCTGGAATCTGGCTCCTTCTCCTAAGGAAAATGGAAACACTCTTTCGGCTTGCCTAGCCAGCATCGGCTTTCAGGTGTCTGTCTGCACTCTTGACGTGGCCGGCTGGCGCGAGTTTGGGAAGCCCGCGGCCCTCCAGCCGTTGCCTCCCAGAAGCCGTGGTCAACCTTGGCCAAGGCGAGGGATGCTGTGGCTTGAGCAACATCCGGAGGTCCATCCTTCTCCTTGGTGTGAGGATGACGAGGATGATCATGTTATCCATTCAGTCGTGTCCGACTCCTGGCGATTCTGTGGGCCAGCTCTCCCCATCTTGCATTGCCGGTAGTCCTCGACTTAGCGACAGTCCATTTAGTGTCCGAAGTTACAACGGAACTGAAAAAAAAGTGACTTAGGACCAGTGGTGGCACAGTGCTTAGCATGCAGCATTGCAGGCTACTTCAGCTGACTGATGGCTGCCAACGGTTCGGCAGTTCGATCCTGACCAGCTCAAGGTTGACTCAGCCTTCCGTCCTTCTGAGGTCGGTAAAACGGGGACCCAGATTGTTGGTGGGCAACAGGATGACTCTGTAAATGGCTTCGAGGGGACTGTAAAGCACTGTGAAACCGTATATAAGTCTAAGGGCTATTGCTAAGTTGGAAGGAAGGAAAGAGAAGGAAGGAAGGAAGGAAGGAAGGAAGGAAGGAAGGAAGGAAGGAAGGAAAGAAAGAGAACCAGAGAACCGTGGTGGCGCAGTGGTTAGAATGCAGTATTGCAGGCTAACTCACTGCTCACTGCCAGCAGTTCAATCCTGACCAGCTCAAGGTCGACTCACCCTTCCATCCTTCCCAGGTCGGTAAAATGAGGACCCAGATTGTTGGGGGGGTCAATAGGCTGACTCTGTAGACTGCTCAGAGAGGGCTGTCAAGCACTGTTATTTTCCACCCGCAGACAAATAACACGTAGACATTAAACGGCGCGGTGAGAATTCGGTGTTCAGCAGAGTGATGGGCCCGAAGGAAAAAAACCCGATCCTTGCGTCTAGTTGTTTCGGCAGGCAATGCCCTATAGCGGCGTCCAGAGGGAAGGAGTTGACGTAATTTACGTCCAGGCGGCGAGGGCTCTGTAGCTGTCTTCTCGGCCCTCCTTCTGACCCCAGCAGTATTCAGGTCCTCAAGACAAGGCAGGCTGGTTGCAGTTGGTGTTTTTTTTCTGAAGTCCTAACTATCCGTTGGGAGTCTGTGCTTGTCCTGTTTGGTTGCTGTACCAAACCAGACAATTATTGGGGCACAAATGACTGACTCAATCATTCCTCTGTAGAGCTCTGTTGTGTCAGCAGATCCTGGGGCAGTCTGAGCTTTTCTGAGTTGACGCAGGAAGAGCACGCGTCTCTTGACTTAAATGATGCCTACGGACACTCTCCGTCCTCCGAGTCTTGGTTGTCCCAAAGGTGGGACAACTGGACGTCGTTTCTCCTTGGAAGACGTTTTGCTTCTCGCCCAAGAGGCTTCTTCAGTTCTGACTGAAGGGCGGGAGACGGAAGGATTTATGTTCTTTGCAGTCGTCTGGTCGTTAGTACTCTCTCTGAGAGTCATTGAGATAAGATAAGATAACCTTTATTGTCATTTTTTTTTTAACTGTGGGCACAAGGGCACACATCAAAAATGAAATTGAGTTGCCCCCTCTCAGAGTGAAACACATACGCGACACACACCTAAACATACTGTATACAACATATGTATAGACCCACACCCCTACATACAGGTTTGTCTGTGCCCTCAGGATCCCTCTTTTGAAGACAGCAAGTCCATCTTCTAGACCAGAGAGGTCCTCCGGTTTGAAAGAGGGGTCAAAGAGGCCATCTGTGATAAAACTCAACAGAGAGGGAGAAATTGTCCTGGTGGACAACTTGGAATACTTGCATCCAGTTTTGGTCACCACGATGTAAAAAAGATGCTGAGACTCTAGAAAGAGTGCAGAGAAGAGCAACAAAGATGATCAGGGGACTGGAGGCCAAAACATATAAGGAACGGTTGCTGGAATTGGGGATGTCCAGTTTAATGAAGAGAAGGATGAGGGGTGAAAGGAGAGCAGTCTTCCAGTATCTCAGGGGCTGCCCCAAAGAAGAGGGAGTCAAGCTATTCTCCAAAGCGCCTGAAGGCAGGACAAGAAGCAACGGATGGAAACTGATCAAGGAGAGAAGCAACCTAGAACTAAGGAGAAACTTCCAGACAGTTAGAACAATTAACCAGTGGAACAACCTGCCTCCAGAAGCGGTGAATGCTCCAACACTGGAGGTTTTTAAGAAGAGACTGGACAGCCATTTGTCTGAAATGGTGTAGGGTTTCCTGCCTGAGCAGGGGGTTGGACTCGATGACCTCCAAGGTCCCTTCCAACTTTATTATTATTAAATACAACATCACCTATGTCCTGTCTAGAACACAGTTGTCCTTTCAGCAGTCCCAAAAAGGCTCCACACCCATTTGCTCCACTCAGGTGACCCTGAGGACACAGATAAGCTTCCAAGCAATGATTCTCAGAAAGAGTACTAACGCCCAGGTGACTATCAATCCTTCCGTCTTTTTCTCTCCCTCTTCTCTCTTTTTTTCTCTTTCTTCTCTCTCTCTCTCTCTCTCTCTCTCTCTCTCTCTCTCTCTCTCTCTCTCTCTCTCTCTCTCTCTCTCTCTCTCTCTTTCTTCCTCTGCCACTAGGACACTGCTATAGGAATTTCAGAAGACCAGGAAGGCGTAGAATCCTAGAGTTGGAAGGGTTTCTGGTCCTACTCACGCCACTTGGTTGGCTGTCCTTCAAAAGAAGTTGAGAATGCTGACTGTGGGTTTCATCCCTTGGGTTTTGATGGCATCTCTCTCTCTCTCTCTTCCCCCCCCCCCCCCCCCCCCCCCCCCCCCCCCCAAAAGGTTCACGCCTGGGAGATCTCCGACCAGTTGCTACAGATCCAGCAGGATGTGGAGTCTTGTTACTTTGCGGCCCAAACCATGAAGATGAAAATCCAGACCTCGTTCTATGAGCTCCCGACGGATTCCCACGTCTCCCTCCGCGATTCCCTGCTTTCCCACATCCAGAACTTAAAAAATATGTCCCCCGTCATTGTCACCCAGGTGAGCATCTAGCCGTACCTGCAGGGAGACTGGTGGGCACACAGTCTTAGCTCCGGCGGGCGGCTTGGAGACCCACCAGGCCTCCTTCTGGGTAATCTTTGTGGGCCTGAGTGAGTCCCTCTGAAATCTGGGGTGGACAGGCTGGTGTTGTCTGGTCCAGCAAGGATATGTGTATACTATACAAGAATATCCGTCTAGGGTGGAGCATCACTCCAACGTGAGCCAGTTGTGTGCGGCAGCAGCCAAAAAAGCTAATACAATCCTTAGTGGTATAAACAGAGGCATAGAATCAAGATCACGCAAAGTAGTCGTACCGCTTTATAAAACCCTAGTGAGGCCACACCTGGAATACTGCAGCCAATTTTGGTCACCTTATCACAAAAAGGATGTTGAGACTTTGGGAAAAAGTTCAGAGAAGAACAACTAAGACGATTAAAGGCCTGGAGACTAAAACATAGGGAATTGGGTATGGCTGGTGTAGAGAAGAGAAGGACTAGGGGTGACACGATAGCAGTCTTCCAGTATTTGAGAAATTGCCACAAAGAAGAGGGGGTCAGAGCACCAGAAGGCAGGACAAGAAACAACGGATGGAAACCCATCAAGGAGAGAAGCAACCTAGAACTAAGGAGAAACTTCCTGATAATTATAACAATTAGTCAGTGGAACAGCTTCCCTCTAGAAGTGGGTGATTCATCACTGAAGAAATTGGACAGCCATTTGTCTCGAAAGGTATCGTTCTCCTGCGCGAGCAAGGGGTTGGACTAGAAGACCTCCAGGGTCCCTTCCAGCTTTATTCTGACTGAAGAATCTCGTTCTGAGCATCTGCTCTGCACGGGATCCTCCTATCTTATGAAGAGCTGGGGTGATGCAGGAGTTAGAATGCAGTGTTGGAGGCTTCACTCTGCCCACTGCCAGCAGTTCGATCCTGACCGGCTCAGGGTTGACTCAGCCTTTCATCCTTACGAGGTCCGTAAAATGAGGACCCGGATTGTTTGGGGGGGGGGGTCAACAGGCTGACTCTAAACTGCTCAGAGAGGGCTGTAAAGCACAGTAAAGCGGTATATAAGTCTAAGTGTTTCTCAACCTTGACCATTTTAAGGCATGTGGACTTCAACTCCCAGAATTCCACAGCCAGCATTGCTGGCTGTGGAATTCTGGGAGTTGAAGTCCACATGCCTTAAAATGGTCAAGGTTGAGAAACACTGGTCTAAGTGCTCTTGCTAAATCCAAAGGAAGGGAGGAAGGAAGGAAAGGAAAGGAAAGGAAAGGAAAGGAAAGGAAAGAGGGAGGGAGAACCGGAGAGCCGTGGTGGCGATGTGGTTGGACTGCGGTATTGCAGGCTAACTCTGCCCCACAACCTGGAGTTCGATCCTGACCAGCTCAAGCTCGACTCACCCTTCCATCCTTCCGAGGTCGGTAAAACGAGGACCCAGATTGTTGGGGGGGGGGCAAAAGGCTGACTCTGTAAACCGCTTAGAGAGGGCTGTAAAGCACCGTGAAGCGGTATGTAAGTCTTAAGTAACGGTTGCTATTGCTATCCGTTCTGTTCCGCCGGCTCCTCTGATCTCTTAACTTCTCTGTCTCTCTCTCTCTCTCCCCCCATCCCTCCGCAGCTTGCGTTAGCCATAGCAGACCTCGCCTTGCAGATGGCTTCTTGGAAGGGCTGCGTGCACACCCTGGTGGAAAAGTAAGTCGCCCCGCTTTGTGGATCTCGTCTGAAAAACAGCCCGACGGAAGCTCCCCCCCCGCCCCGGCTGCGTCCGGGTCTCCCCGGAGCAATCAGAGGGGCAGAATGCAGCTCAAGGGGAAAACAGCTTCTTGAGGGGGGGGGGCTTCCAAGGATATCAGTGGAGGAAACGTCGAGAAGAAATAGCAGCCTCCCTGCTTAGCTCCCATTTTGACCACATTTCATTTTGCTTTCCTCAACCGACGACCGTAATAGAATCTGCCCATTACAGTCGTTTGTTTGAAGGGTAATGGTGCTTTTTTTTTTCCCCCCACAAGGCAACTGGACTTTCTTGTTTTTTTCCTTGGAAGACGTTTCGCCTCTCATCCCAGAAGCTTCTTCGCCTCCGACTGGAGGGTGGGGAAATGGAAGGATTTATACTCCTTGCAGACAGCTGGTCATTTGCCTTCGTTTGTGTGTGTGTTATGCTCTTCATTATGCTAACTGCTGAAAATCTAATTGATTATGGCAGGTATAAATCTGGGAGATAAAAAATAAAATGGAATACAAATATGGAAAAAGTGGACTGTGAAAGAAAACAAAAATAATGAACCTTTAGCCAGATTGGTAAAACGGTATCCAATGAATTCTGTTATCTCTCAAAAGAACATGTAGACAAGGCACAGAGATCAGAGAATGTTATTTGATTTTGCCAAAGGCAAAGAAGCTTTAACCAATGCAACAATAATATTTACCAAGTGCATCTGGATTGACAAATTATTAAATATGGAAAATATTATGTTGGTTGCATCAGCAAAGGGGGGTGGTATTAAAAAAAGTCACAATTACTGAATTAAAACTAGGTCTCTTTTTAGATGTGTTATGTGTACAATTCATGTTAAAAAGGGCAGACATGTCAAACCCAAGGCCCGGGGGCCGGATGCGGCCCGCGAAGTGGTTTCATGTAGCCCGCCAAGCCATCCTGGAAACAGTGAGGGAACAGCCCCCGCTGCCTTGGCCCTGGCCCGGGCCGGCCGGGAGCCAATGTACAATTTTGTGGTGGTCATCTTGGCACTTGCCCTGGTGGACCATGCCTTGGCACTTGCCCCGGTCCCACCCCCTTCTCCCAGAGACCCTCAGATCTGTCCCACTCCTGCCCAGGCCCCCACAGGCACCCTTGACGCGAATGATGTAGAACTGGCCACGCCCATCCAGTAGGCCACACCCATCCAGTAGGCCACACCCACTCCACGCCCACCCAGTAGGCTGCACCCACTCTGGCCACACCCACCCGCCCCCCCAAGGGCAACCGCAATGCTGATGCGGCCCTCAGTGAAATTGAGTTTGACACTCCTGTTTTAGAGGGTCGTTGAGGCCACTTGGAGGCCTGTCTGTGTCCTCAGGGTCCCTTGAGTGGTGCAAATGGGTGTGGAGCCTTCTTGGAACTGCGGAAAGGATTTGTGTTGTAGCCTGGAGATGGATGGTGTCTCATCCCTCCCACTTTGTTGAGAGAGGGCTGTTCAATCCACACCCATTTGCACCACTCCGGCGACCCTGAGGACGCAGGCAAAGCTCCAAGTGGCCTCAACGACTCTCTCAAAGGATGCAAACGACCAGCGGTCTGCAAGGAGTATAGATCCTCCCGCTCCCCACCATCCAGTCGGAGCCGAAGAAGCTTCTGGGAGGAGAAGCGAAACATCTTCATGGACAAACAAGGAAGTCCAGTTACCTCCTGGAAAAAGCACCGTTGGCCCAAGTTGGTTGGGTGCCCACTGCCTTTGGAAGACCTGCTGGGCCCGCTGGCCTCTCCCCCGTGACCTTTCCCTATCTTCCCCTCCTTTTTTGGGGGGCACACCAGGTACAATAACGACGTGATGTCCCTGCCCTTCCTGCTGGAGATCCTGACGGTGCTACCGGAGGAAGTGCACAGCCGGTCCCTGCGCATCGGAGCCAACCGCCGCACGGAGATCATTGAGGACCTGGCCTTCTACTCCAGCACGGTGGTCGCCCTCCTGGTGAGTTTCGCTTCGAAACAGTCGCAGACGCAGCTCAACGGAAGCTTCTGGCAGAAGGAAGGGGACGCCTAGTCCAGGGCTTTTCAACCAGTGGTACGGGCACCACCTGTGGTACATTGGCACCTGGCAGGTGGTACGCGACCATCCTAGAAAAGTGGTAGCGGGGGAGGGGAATGAGCTGAACCGGTGGCAGCACCACACAAGCCTGAGCGAGAGACGGCTGGAGCTGCAGGGCTGTCGGGGCTCAGCGGAAGCGCCAGGATCAGTGCCGCTTTCCAGCTGATCGGCGCTTCTTTGGGGCTGTCAGGGCTCAGCGGAAGCGCCAGGATCAGCGCCAGGCTCCAGCTGGAGCTCAGCGCTGATCCTGGCGCTTCTGCTGAGCCCAGAAGAAGCGCCGATCAGCTGGAATGTTGCAGCCTCTCCAGGGTCTTGTGATTGACATTCAGATGCTTGGCAACTGATTCATATTTATGACGGTCACAGTGTCCCAGGGTCATGTGAAGGGACCAAAACCTGCTGCAACCACCCAGCAGACGGGGGGGGGAATAAAAACCAAACACCCCCCCCCCACCCCCGCTGCCAATCCTCAACAGAAATGCTCACAACCATGAAAACCTCGGACAGGAGGAAGAGCGTGGCCGGGCAGGCAGGCAGGTGTCTTGCTCGGCTGTGGCTTGGGGGGCACTTTTTTCAGTGCCATTGTAACTTCGAACAGTCACTAAGCGAACTGTTGTA